TTCTGAATTCAGTCAAGTTGTTTGCCATTCCTCCAGCTTGTTATATTTTAAGAAATATAGCCTTTATCCCAGAGTTTGGTCTCATGTGTTTTCTTCGTGGGAGTGGGAGCAAAGGGTTCTGGGGCCAAGCCATGGTAAGCCTTGGCTCCTGTTAAGCCCTCCTCATATCTCCAGCTCTGGTCTGTATTGTTCTGCTGGAATTTCTGAAGTTAATGTTTCACATTCCGCAAGATTTTTATCTGCGGCCCTGGCTGCATCTCTGAGGGAGGGGTTGCCAGAAAGGTTATTTATCATGCTTTCTAAACTTTAGGTTTGGGCTGGGTGTTCATCAATATGCGGATGAGACCCAGCTCTACCTCTCTTTTAAATCAGAACCAGTGAAGGTGGTGAAGGTCCTGTGTGAATGACTGGAGGCAGTTGGAAGATGGATGGTGGCTAACGGATTGAGGTTGAATCCTGACAAGACAGAAGTACTGTTCTTGAGGGACAGGGGGCAGGCTGGTGTGGAGGACTCTCTGGTCCTGAATGGGGTAACTGTGCCCCTGAAGGACCAGGTGTGCAGCCTGGGAGTCATTTTGGACTCACAGGTGCCCATGGAGACTCAGGTAAATTCTGTGTCCAGGGCAGCTGTTTACCAACTCCATCTGGTATGCAGGCTGAGACCGTACCTGCCCGTAGACTGTTTTGCCAGAGTGGTGCATGCTCTAGTTATCTCCCACTTGGACTACTGAAATGCACTCTACATGGGGCTACCTTTGAACGTGACTCAGAAACTGAAATTAATCCAGAATGCAGCAGCTAGACTGGTGACTGGGAGTGGCTGCCGAGACCATATAACACCGGTCCTAAAGGATCTTCACTGGCTCCCAGTGTGTTTCCGAGCACAATTCAAAGTGTTGGTGCTGACCTTTAAAGCCCTAAACGGCCTCGGCCCAGTATACCTGAACGAGCATCTCCACCCCCATCGTTCTGCCCGGACAATGAGGTCCAGTGCTGAGGGCCTTCTGGAGGTTCCCTTGCTGCGAGAAGTGAGGTTACAGGGAACCAGGCAGAAGTCCTTCTCGGTAGTGGCGCCTGCCCTGTGGAATGCCCTCCCACCAGATGTCAAGGCAATAAGCAACTATTTTACTTTTAAAAGACAACTGAAAGCAGCCCTGTTTAGGGAAGTTTTTAATGCTTGATGCTGTATTGTTTTTAATATTCGGTTGGAAGCCGCCCAGAGTGGCTGGGGAAATCCAGCCAGATGGGCGGGGTATAAATAAATAAATGATGATGAAGATGATGGTGATGATGTTGATGATGATGATAAAATGGGGGGTGGCCTAGAGCACAGGCTATATTGTCCACTCCCATTGAAATCACTGCTCTTCAGATGCTACCATCTGCAGCAAGATCATTTGGCCAAGTCCATGGCTTCACATCTCCAAGATCTCCTTCTCATAAATAAATCTACAGTGGAACCTCGGGTTGCGGATGTAATCTGTGACAGAGGGACGTCCGCAACCTGCATCATTCGCATCCTGAAGTGCTGCGTCTGCGCAGGCGCCGGCGATATTTGGCGCTTTTGTGCATGCACGAGGCGTGATTTAGCGCTTCTGCACATATACAAGTGGCGAAACCCAGAAGTAACCCGTTCCAGTACTTCTGGGTTTTCTGCGGTCCGCAACCCGAAAACACGTAACCTGAAGCGTCCGTAACATGAGGTATGACTGTATTAAGATAAGCAACATCTCAGCATCATTCGTCCAGCTCCTATAATTCACCAGCTCCCCTGCAAACTATAATAAGCTTGCAGAATTAAAGAGAGCTGAAGCTCAGCCTGACATGAAGGTGATAACTCTAACTAAAGTCTAGGAAATTTCTAGAGGCCTTGCTTCAAGATTTACTATTATAGATGTGATGAAGAAGTACTGCACTTACTATGTGTTTTTATTTAATTTCATGTTTCCTTCCTGCAGAACAAGAATTGTGTACTGAACGATGGGGGTGGATGATGGGACTTGTAGTCCAGAACTTCTGGAGGGCACTGCATTGGATACCCTTCTTTTAAAGAAATAGTGATTCGGTCACTGATTTTTGATGTCTCATCTTGTTTAGCCTTTAGAGACTAAATGTCAAATGTGTGATTTAAGTGAAAACCCTCCCTTTGCTCCTCCAATTAGCACCACTAAATAAATCTTAGCTGAGATAAATCTTCCGCCATAAATTTCAGTGTTACCAAAATATCAATAGAAAATGTATTTTTGATCTATTGAGGGAAATCTAACATGTATAGCAGGGGTCGGCAAGGCTTACTGGGCATGGGCCAGATCACTCCCGTGGAGATCCTCCGTGGGCCAGGCCAGCGCAGCGTGATGCTGGAAATTGTGTCTGTGCATGTCCACGGTGATGGAAATCACTTCTGTGCATGCCCGGATGCCAGAAATTGCGCCTGCACAGAAGCGATTTCCAGCGCCGCGGACATGCGCAGACGCAATTTCCAGCGTCTGGGCATGTGCAGAAGCAATTTCCGGAGCCGCGGAAGAGAGTCCCTGTGCCGCACCAGTTTATCGTAGTGTGTGGGGACTCGCCGAGCAGGCGGCTCGGTTTGGGGGTGGCTCATGGGCCAGTTAAACAGCCTCTGTGGGCTGCTTCCGGCCCATGGGCCTTAGGTTGCCAACCCCTGATGTATAGCTTAGTAGACAAGTGCTACCACTTGCTGTCAGAAAGACCATCTTTCACCATAGTATTTATTTTCATTTTGTATTTCTGTAGTCAGAATAAATCAAACAAGTGTGCCCTTGACTCACAGCCTCACAAATTAAAATTCATCATAGTAATCATTTAAATGAACTTCTTGTTGATTAGCTACTGATTAAACCTTGCAACTCAAATGTGTTAGTTTTTAAATAAATAAGGCAACCAGGGGGGAAGTGCAATATTCCAAAGAGAAATAAATATCTATTAAAACAAATAGATATTTGTTTTGAATATTTTTTTTATCAGAGGCCCTGCGGGCAAAGACATCTCTGATATATCCTTGCTGGGTAATATGCATTATGGTGTAGCAGCTTCTGAATGAGTTAGCCATTCAGGGGATATTGAACTAAGTCATGCTCAGAGTTGGCCTGTTGATTTGACTATATGACTAACACTGGAAATTATCCTGTATAATTTGGAGGGCACCAGGTTGAGGATGAATGCCCTATCCATTAAAGCAGTTAGTCTGCCTTAATTTGCTGGCCTTCAGCCAGTGCTCTTCAAAGGCCATTACTGAATATTAATAATAATAGTAATATTATTAAATGGTGGTTCTTCCAAGGAGGGAGGAAATGTTGAATTTGGAACTGAGACGTCTGGAGCCAGGATCATTGCCTATTCGCCTGGAGAAAGACAACAACCACTGTCTCCCACTACGATGCAGAATGATTTGATTGAGAGGCTGCATAGTTTTAAATAGCAAGATGGGTGTCCTTGAGGATAACCAGTTGAAAATAATCTAATCCATATGGTTTTCCAAGGCCTTGCCCAGACTCAGCCCTTGCCCCCTTCAAAATGAGTCATTTGACTTAATTTGCTTCCGAAGTGGAAGGAGACGGGGAAATTATCAGACAGCCAAGGCTAATATTATGAATGTTATTAGCAAATGGACTTAAACCTCATCCAAGCAAAGGACTTGACATCCCTGTATTTGGCAGACAAAGGGTGAGTTTGACATTGGTGAGAAAATTCTGTGGCTGAGCTTTCGGCTGATTGGTGGTGGGATTTGAATTAATTTTAATCCAGACCTTTGGGCAGCCTTTGAAGTGACAGCAGAACAAACACCACCTCTCAGGTTTACTGACGTGTGTTTTCAGAACGTTTCATTTCAGTAGCATTTCAGGGTTTCTTTGTTAAAGAGAAATGAGCACCGGGCTATACATAATGCCATTCACGCCATTAATAATGGCACGAATGGCTTTGTGAAAGTAAATAGTGGTTATACCCCCTCCAACCAACCAACATCACTGATTTGGGTCAGGAACCTGGCATGGAGTACAGGGCTTTAATCCTTACCCACTGCTGTGGTCCCAGTTTAAATTCGGGGGGGGCGGGACACCCCCCCCTTCTAGTTGCATGAGAAGAAAAGTTCCCATATGTGCCAAGGGAAACTTTTATTCCAATGCAAATAGCAGGCATGTGGGGCCCAATCTGTGGGATGTAATGTAAGCAGTCAAGTACAACACTTCCTGTTTGCCCAGAGTGGCATGCAGGAGGGTGTTACTCCAGCCAAGAGGACTTCCTGTCACGGTCTGGAGCTTCCTCCCCTGCGTGTGACTAAGTAGGTGGGCGTGACCTTGGGAGACCCCATAAAAGGGGTTGGTCACACAGCCATCTCTCTCTCTCTCTCTTGACTCTTCTCTCTTTTGGTGCCATTTCTTCTCTTGGACTGCACTGCTGCCTCTCTGCCAGCAACGCATGGGCCCATCCTTACAAGGATGTAAGCCACACTGTATCTGTAACTACAAGCTTAACGCCTGTCTTGAGGGATCATACTGTTAACTGAATGTGAGTCAACTTTTCATTTCTTATAATGAAGACTCTTGTGTCTTTAGGAGGGAATCAAAGGGGTCTTACCAGGAACATACTCCAATCTGGGCATGCCAGTTTGGATTGCTTAACTAAAGAGATTCGAACGAATCTGCAACTCGCTTCTTGCTGTGTAATACGGGAAATGAGCTCTGCTATATATATGACTTACTAGCGTGAGTTAGGAAGGATAATATTTAATCAATATATCCTCTCCTACTATCCACAACATTCCCACACAATCCAGAGCAGGATCACAGTGAGGTGCAAAGAGCATGCGGGCCTCTGGTTAGGGAAGATTACTGATCACAGGAAGGACTGTAAACAACTTCAGCCGATCGTGTTTACAAATCTTATTTCAGACCTTTCCGTTCTATGGGGGAAGGCTAGTGAGGAGGGAGCATGCGCTGCACCCACAGCCACTACATGGGCACAATTACAAAAAGCCTAGCGGAAAACTGTAGCTCAGTGGTAATAGCGTCACCATTGCATACAGAAGGTTCTAAGTTCAATTCCTAGCATTCCCAGGTAGGTGCAGCTGGCAATCTCCACTGCCTGAAACCCAGGACTGTCACTGCCAGTCCATGTAGATAGTACTCAATGGACCAGTGGCCTGACTCAATATAAGGCAATTTCCTACATTCCTGGACAGAGTGAAATGTTTGCCAAACTTTTGACAATATGTTGTTGGTCAGCTCCCAAATAATCATGAGGCATTCTCCTTCCAACAAGGAGATACACCCCACTTAATATTGCCAGCTCCTTTTAGCCAGTTCTTAAACATATGAGACCCAGCACCTGAAGAAAGATGCAACATTCATGTGTGGAAAAAACATTTTTTATTCCCTTACCACTTGCTTAAACTTTGGCAAAGCTACCAGGAAGTAATAAGAAAGGAACCATTTCAATAAAAATAATTATTAGTTTTCAATTACAATCCAATAATAGCCTCATTATAACAATACCAATTCATAATACAATTATTAATACCAATTGTTCAAATACCAAATTATGTAATTTAAAGAAAGTGCCAAAATCTTATTAATTTCAATTACATTCCGGTCGTAATAATAGTCCCTCGTGCAACAACTGCAATATTAATAACTTCTAGTTGTGTTGACACATTAAATGATTTATAAAACTGCAAGTGAGGAACTCAAAATATATTCTTGTTCTTCATGCATGTGGCAATTATTCTGTCCATGGTGTTTCTTCCTGTCCTTGTAAGATGTTATGTCTTTCTTTCCCCCTGTTGTTGCTGTTATCCATAATGCCTTGGGAGGAGCTGATATCCCATTGTTGTTCCAGAAATTTCTCCATCACTCTGTCCCCTGCTTCATTGTTTTGCAACTTTAACAACAGCTGCAAAAGTCTCTCTTTCACAGTAAATATTACCTGTTGTCAATATTATTCTTCTCAGCCTGGGAAGAAGAGTGGTCTGTTGAACTGCAGATGACTCCGTAAAGAATCTTATCAGTTCCTTGGCAGTTCACAGACTCCTTTCATCCTTCCAGCTGAATATATAGGAGCAATTATACTTCCAATTAAATTAAATTCCATGTCATCTTAGCGTTATTCAGTTCACTTCATAAATAATAAAGGATGGGGAAGAGTCAGCTCTAAGTTTCCGTCATAAACCTTTTGCAAAATAGAGCTTCCCTCCCTTTTCCCTTTTTTACACACACAGTTCCATTTGATGTTATATTCCATATTTATAATCCAATTTCTTCCATCCTCACTTGTACAAATATAATTTGAACTAACATTCAGAGGAGGGTTGCCAAATCATAAATGTAGAGACTAAAACTTTAAATAAGGAAACCATAGGCTCTTCTACCCCTCACCATCTTTTGCACCAAATGAAGTCTTATCTCAAGTTCAAACCTTAAAGTCCTTTTCAGTTGTTTTTGTTCCGCAGTTTGTGATCTCATCTCTTCTAGCACGTGCCTGTACTTTAGTCCAATTAAGCTCTAATTAACAGGAGAACCTCTGCTTCTAAATGGCAGTGTTGGAGGGTTTTCGGAGGCGAAGTGCTTTTGCACTCAGCTCCTCCCTGGCTCCCGCATTCCATGCCGGAGCTAGATCCAGGTACCAAGATGAACTGTGAGTGAAGCCTATTCCCCCTCCATCCCTGGTGGAAATTTGCAAGGTTAATTACCCTCAATCATCCTTGTTTTTCCTTTGCCAACCATTTCCCGCTGTCATGAAGGCTGCCTCCATTAAGGCATGCAGAACCGGAAGCCTAGAAAGTCAATGGCAGTCTGCGTCATTAATTCTCAGCCATGAAATTATGAGATTGACCTTTATGAGACCCTTCTAGACACTAACGGTTGTGTAAAACTATCACACCTGGTTTGGCCATTACCCAGAGTGTTGCCCTCTATTGGAAGGCCTGTTTGGCAGGAATAGGGGAGAAATTAGGTTCACACCTCAGGGTCAAACTACCTAGGATAACAGAATCATATAATTGTAGAGTTGGAAGGTGCACCAAGAGTCATCTAGTCCAAACCTTTGCAATGCAGGAATCATAGCTTAAGAATCCCGTAGAGATTGCCATCCAACCTCTGTTCAAATATCTCCAATAAAGGAGAGTACACCACCCTCTGAGTTAGTTAGTCCATTCCACCATCGAACATATCTTATCTTCAGAAAGTTCTTCCTAATAGAACTACCTTCCTTGTAATTTGAATCCTAATTCCCACTTTCTGAGACAGTATGTGATCCAGAACACAGATATCCTTTGCAATTCGTACTTCACTGAATTTTTCAATGCAGTTCTCCAGTCAATGTATACAGAAATGTATATACTGGGGTGAAGTGTGCATTAAAAATGGAGACATTGGTGAATTGTTTTTTAAAAAATAGTATAAATGGGGAAATGGCTTTTCAAAAAATGTGTATGTTAAGCAAAATTGTACACACATATTAGGAAACATTTGCCCTAAACTGATGAAGAATTTTCATGAGGACTTTAAACAAAAAAAATCACAAACCAATGTGGAAATGTAGAAAACTGAACTTAGGAGTGGAAAAATGAGAACGAGAGAGATGCTTCCATACCTACCATCTGGTTCAAGTCTGGTTCAAATATCAAGATCAAGGCAGATCAGAGGCCTTGAAGTTGCCCATCAACAGTTAGTAGCTGGACAGTAGCCTGAGTAGAAAGGGCACCTATCCACAGCTTTCCCCATTATGCTGACATGTATTATATTTTTATTAAAACTCCAGTAATTATTTCAAACTCTGCATCTGTGCATATGGGCATTTTTGTTCAAATCTGTCCCCTCTTTCTTAATTTCTTCTTCTTTCGTTGATGTGTAAGTGGTGAGGACTTATATATTTCTTAGGCATACCAAAGGTACATATACTTTTGGTTAAAAGGGAATAATATTAAACATAGAGTATTGGTGTGGTTTAGCAAACCAAGAAGCCTCCATTGCAACAAGGTATGCAAGAGTAGGAGGGAAATGGATGGAGAAGAATGATAATTCAAATTCATGATTCATTCTGTCTCTATGGTTTGTAGGTCTGGTGCCAAGACATCATGCGTCCCAAATAATATGATGGCGCTCCAACGAGATGCCTATGAGAAGCCCACAAGCAGGATCTGAGCACAACAGCACTCTCCCCTACTGGTGAGTTTGTTCAGGTACCCCCTCGAACCTGGGGTGGTCCCTGATAGTCTGCTGGACCAAGCAGGACCCAAATGGAAACCTTCTAGAGCAGGGTTTCCCAAACTTCAGCCTCCTGTTTTTTGACTACTACTCCCATCATACCTAGCTAGCAGGACCAGTGGTCAGGGATGATGGGAATTGTAGTTCAAACTTCGGCCTTCTGCTTTTTTGGACTACTACTCCCATCATCCCTAGCTAGCTGGACCAGTGGTCAGGGATGATGGGAGTTGTAGTTCAAAAACAGCTAGAGACCCAAGTTTGGGAAACCCTGTCTAAGGTCTAAGAGTAAACAGGACTTTGAAGTAGAAAGAAAGAAAGAAAGAAAGAAAGAAAGAAAGAAAGAAAGAACATTCTTCAGCTATCAGAGGTTTGGAAGCTATCCCTAGACATGGTTTGCGTGTTGTAATATGCAGCAATGTATTGTGTCTCCTACATGTTTTCGCTGTTAGTATCAGGGCATAACCACTCTTGTTCCGTAATCTGTGTCCAATAGCACAGATGAAAGCCATCAGTGGGAAATGTCAGAAGAACAGGAATTATGCTTTTTGTCAGTAGCTTCCAGCATTTCATTGCCCACCACACATGCACACATACCACCTACTTCCTCTCTCCAGGCCAAATACTATTCTCAGCTTACACCCATGTCAACTCAAATCCAGCAGGGTTTGTACGGAGCTAACCGGGAACAGAAGATGCCTCCCAGGGCCTTGCTAGCACATATTTACAATTTATTTACTGAAACCACATGTTTCTGGGTACACATACCCAGCTTAGGCTGTTGACTAAATGTCAGCTCAGTGGTGCCTTTCAACACCTCAGCCATCCAAGTAAGACTTTTAGCCTCAGAAGGAGAAAAAAGTCTAGTCTCACCCCGCAATGGATGGAAGAGACAGGGCTGGCCCATGACATTTTTGCCGCTTGAGGATAAACAAAAAGAAATGCTGCTGTCGTCCCAGTGGCGGTGCCCCCCTTCCACTGTCTGAGGCAACTGGAGGTGGCTGAATGGGGTAGGGTAGCAAAAAGGAGGACAGAGAGGAGCAGGCAGCGGGGGGGGCAAGGAAGGAGGCAGCAGTGTCAGGTGACAAGCACAGGAGGCGGTGAGCTGTATTCTGTTTGGGGGGATGGATCTGCCACCCTTCCCAGCCTGTCACCTGAGGCGACTGCCTCACCAAGCCTCATGGATTGGACGGCCCTGAGAAGAGACCGTGAGCATTATTTCCTGTGAATTCTAGAAGTATGGTACAGTGGTACTTCTGGTTGCAAAAGGGATCCGTTCCGGATCCCCGTTCGCAACCTGAAAGGAACGCAACCCATGCCTGCGCACGTGCGGGTCGCAATTTGCTGCTTCTGCGCATGCGTGTGATGTCATTTTGCACTTCTGCACATGCGCAAGTGGCGAAACCTGGAAGTAACCCTTTCCGGTATTTCCGGGTCACCGCAGGACGCAACCTGAAAAAATGTATCATGAAGCAAACGTAACAAGAGGTATGGCTGTATTTCCAACAATTTCTTTCTTTCTTTCTTTTTAATAGAATGCAAAAGGTCTCCCTGGACTAAAATCAAGAGTTATCCCAATTGAGAAATGAATGGACATTCATGTTGGCTATTTGCAGTTTAGTAGCGCTGCAGAGAGCTTGCTGGGGAGACCATGCATTAAAAAGGGACTCAAAAATAAATTAAACAAGGTTCTAATTACAAAAACAAAAACTCCTTATACACGAAATACATCAACAACAAACCAGACCCAACCACCAACCCATCCCCCAGGATAATGGGAGAGCTAGGTGCTGCTCCTTATATACTACACCCAATTGCTGACACAGCTTAATCAATACAACTCAGCAGCACCTGCT